AAAACTCGCCTGCTTCGATTGTCATGAATTCCTTCTGACGGGCAAAAGTGTCAACAATTAACCTTTCGTAGTTGCATCGCGGCAACGATCTTTTCTATGCCGCATAAGTGCTTCGATACAATTGACCAATTGATTTTGACTTCTAAATTTTCTCAAAATCCCAAAAACTTCTCCGGAGAAATAGTTTTAATTCGAATGAAGCGATAAAGCCGAAAAGTCCACTTTTTTAGAAAGGAAAACTATTTTACTACCCCTTGAGGATATAAGGATGAAATTTAAAGAGTTTTCAATAAAGGTGTTGCCAATATAAAAAAAAATGTTTGCTTTTACATGCAGACACGATTCATATTGATCACAGTATTACGTCTTCAAATTTCCCGTTTCACTGGAATAGCTATCTAAAGGGAATTCCTGTTTCAATAAGCTTTAAAGGGTTCATTAAATAAAAGCTTCTAGCGCTACTAAATCTGTATGACGGCTGGTATTTAACATAAAAGCCCAACAATAAACTGCTTGGAATCCCTAACAGATTCATATTTTTGCAAATAAAAGAAAACAAGTTATCATCGCACTTAGAACGACTCAGGGGGAAAGTTTCGTTATAATCGCGGTTGATTTCAGTCGCGGGAAGAGCTTGCTTTCCAGACGGATATTTAACCCATAGAAAGTTAATGATTTTCGATGGTCTCCTAAGAGCTGCGCACATGTCTTCATCTAGCACTGGGGTCTTATTACTCTGGGGCGTTACATGACATGCTTCTACTTGTCTGCCATCGGTCCTCGCGGTAGGAACCCGCTTTAAACTACTGGTAACATGTAACATCGCATTTATAGAGATAATCTAGAAGGTTCGGTTCTTCTTTATTGACAATTAAAGGGGCAACTGACAATTACTTGATTATACACCATTTTTTTCAATCGAATAAAAATAACAGATTAATCTTCCAAGACAGCGTGTCAGGTGTTTCGGTTTAATTAGACGAAAGTTTTGCTATCTCTTACTAAATTAATCGCTTGCAGATTCAAGTAAACATTGATACGAGGATTGTAAGCCTTCAAGTAGAGTTCAATTTCGGCTCTGACTTTGGATTATTGACACATAAGAACTTTACATATTTTTTTTTTAGCTAGAATGTCAAGCCTGGTCGAACTGGATCTGTTCTGTACTCTGTAATGTATAGGTTTTGCCAAGCTATTCTAGGCTGCGTTGCTTGACTTGATTGCGTACGTACCTACGCAAATTAGGTGGGAAACTAACTGATAGAAAAAATCTCCGCTACCGTGATTGCTGAGTTATTATTCTAACTAAACTGACATTATTTACGAAGACTGATCAATGCACATTAATCATTGCCAGCAATGCAAGTTAGATTTTAAAGTCTAAGATATAGTTGTACCTCCCCTATCGGACAGACAAAAGGTAAACCGTTTCTAACGTTGCTGAGATAAGTTTGATAGCATTTTGAAATGTCTGCTGATAGCTCTACAAGTGTCCCCGAGCTGAAATCTTTATATTAACTTTGTATTATAATACTTGGATTATCGTTGATCTAAAATCTGTACAGTTGCGAATGAATACATTAGAGGTTCGCTTTAATTCATTGAAAGTCAAGGAAGACAATTTTAAAGATCTTTATAACCGAAGTAAAACTGGAAGTACAAAGACTACCCTGAAAGATAAGGATTAAGTTAAATCAAGCGTTGCGGGAAACTTTCCTTAATAAAAGACGTTTAAGCCATTTGACGAATGTAGCTCTAAACGAAACTACAAGAATTTGCAAGAATGACTATAACGGGAAAAATTTGTCTTACAGCGACCCATATGAAATCCTTTAATTATAAGGAAAAAGGATCACCTTATGTTTATTGAGTCCTCCTTTTAAATGCTCAACAAGAAATATACCCCCACTCAATAACATTCAGTAGATTTCGTTAAGTTATGGACTAGAATTTATTGGCGTTTGTAGGGATGTTGATGGAGTTCTCCACAACGATTTTGTGGTACTTTCACTTAGGAAAAGCGTTTTTCCTTTTCTTATCATACTTTTTCAATGTAGTATTACTTTTCTAACATTTCCAATGGATTGGGTAACCGCAAGAAAATCAATCAACTGAACCCTACTCAGTTTTCGACTTAGTTTTTTATTTGTCTGGCGTTTCGAAAAGATTGCTTGCTTCTTCGATAAATAAATTATTATTATATTTGCTTTGTTAATTAAGCTGATGCGACTGACTAGATGAAATAAAAGGGGAGATTATCGTCTCATTATAATGGTCCAAAAAAACTATAACTCGTTGACTGTGCCAATGTGAGAGTAAGAAGTTTTCATGTTTCCAACAAGGAACGGGAAGCTTGGAAGTCTGCAAAGCAAGACTAATTTAACAAGTTGTACAAGTTAAAAAAAATTTTAAGAAAGATTATCTCATCCTTATCTAAGCAGTTTTACTTTGTTCACAACATCATATAATTGTTTTACAAGCATAGTAATAAAACAAGTAGACGTTTCGAAGTGTAGATCGAAACTAAAGACGCACCAAATAATAAAAGAATTATACCACCAATGCCAGAAGAGTATAAAGAAAAAAAAATAAAAATAAAAATAATAAAAATAACAACAACAATAAAAGACCATCACTACTACTACACTTGAAAAGATTTATCGCCATTGATTGCTGAGCTCGTTGCCATTTTATTTATTTGGTGCTGGGTAGTTTGACTGCTCTTAACTGCTGCGCTGTGCTTCTTTTAGTAAACTTCGCCGAGACTATATAGCAATTGCGTGTATAGATATGCGTGTCCGCGTTTAAGAGATGATTTCTTTCCAATTTATTTGGTGACATATTGATTTTAAATTGATGATAGTCCCATCATAGTAATGTGACAATTGTCGTAATTGCAATTGCAATTGCAATTCCCTTAGCACACACACTTATGTTCAACTCTTGTGTAATTGTGTTTTTATTGCTTAACTATACCCAATAATAATGTTTACCTAATAATTGTATTTCACTCCTTTTTTTTTTTTTTTTTTTTAATTTAAGTAATAAATAAGCAAGAAAAAGACACAAAAAAAAAAAAGAAGAAAATTATCAACATTCGAACATCTTTGATTTGATTAATGAGCCATTCGGACACCTGGAAAAGTTCAGACTATACGATGAAGAAAGCGTTTAACATTTATAACATTATGGGAAAGAAGATATATATGTGCAGCCTATAGCAATTGTTGGGTCTGATGTTCGTAAAAAACAATCGAAATAGCAGCGATAACAACAACACGCATCAAGCATTAAAGATAAAAACATTAAAAGTGTAAATTTATCCAATTATTGACAAATCAAAACTCTAATTGCATTTTTACTCGAGTTAAGAGTTAAACTGTTTGCTCTCTTCATCGATACTTAACCACTTTCAACACAACGTTCCTATTCGTATCAAGTATTCGAGTAAAAGTTGTATCACATCAACAATTACAACAACAACAACAACAAAAACAACAACATTAGTAAGTATTGCTGTTTATTGATATTCGCATGTACATAAATAGTTCAATAATTTTTTTTTTTTTTTTTTTTTTTTTTAAACTTTGAAAATTTATCGATTCCTAGAAAAGTCAGTTGTTATTTTTGTATTAGTGAATGTTACACAGTGACTACTATATAAACATATATATAAACGTGCACCAGTTTTAATGCCTATACGTATGGCAAACTAATTATGCAATCGCTTAATGTATGCGTTAATTAAAAAGGCAGCCAGCTGTGCGTTTATGTTCAAATATACATCAATATATCTAACGGGAAGGCAGAACGATATCTAGGGAAAGAGATAGACAGTGAGAATAGCGGGGAAGAGTTAGATGCAGCAGAAGCGGGGAAAATGCAAACAACAAATATTTAGCTTACGTTATACACCCAATAAATTGTAGAAGAGCGTTCTTTCTAATAAAATATCGTTTCTCGTGCTATCATTGCTCTTGTTGTTGTTGTTGTTGTTATTATTATTATTATGCAGTAATTATGCGCTTTTTCTACATTTAAGGTCATTAAGCTTTTTTTTTCTCTAATTATACCCGCCACGGGGTACATTAGATTCATCACATCTTTGTAACGCAACGAAATATGCAATGAGGAAGTTTGCAATTCTTGGTCAGGGTGTATAGTGGAAACGATTTATTTTATATGTGTATCAGGTTTAGAATACCGATATATTGACTAGAAGGACAATTTTAATATCAAATTTTTTTCTCGCAATTATTCCACAAACTTAAGTCTGAAAGTCTGCTGAATAGGGGGCAAGAGTTGGCCCAAAATTACCAAAGCAGAGTAACGACAGTTGTACACCAAGTGCTGCCAAGTTTCGTAAATATATGCTGCCAAACATATATATATATATATATATACGATATAAGATGCATCTGATCAATTATATGACTAAGCGCTGAATGCGTAAAGTAGCACTAAAGCAAGTGATTCGCGGACAAATTTTTTCTATCTCTACGACGTTACTTATATACATACATTAACATAGCACAGCCAATATTGCTCTTACACTTAAGAGCATTGAGAGTGCTGGATACGTTGTCTATGCATGCTTAGGAGTCAAAAAACTTCTACAGACTTGTTCGCCAACATTAACTATCTGACTTCATCGCGGTTTGTCGAGCACTTTTCTTAAGACTTGAAATCTCGTACAGGCGAATTATGCTCTATTTTTTTGGTAAGAAATGTAACTATGATGAAATATACAAATCGCCTGGATTTGTTAGACATACATAGATATAACCGTAATAGGTTAAGAGATGATTTACGTGTTGGATTAATTTCGTTGAAATTTTTATTAAAGCGGACGATTTATAGACACCTAATAAAGGACTCAAATAATTTCAGTTTTCACTTCGAAGAAATCGTTTTGCGGACAAGTCCATAATGGATGAACTTAATGACTTAATGAGAATTCTTTACATCTTTCATTGTATTTTATGTTACATTTTGCTTACCTCTATTTATGGAGGGTACACAAAGTTCAACTTGATGCGATCATAACTTCTTTATTTGTACTTTGCTAAATTGTGCAACAAAGAAAAAAAAAGAAAAAAAAAAACGTTAATCAGTAAAAAAGTAACTAAGAGTTAATAATCGTGACAAAATGTTAATATTCGTTAATATTCGACTCTTCAGTATCGTGCTCATGAGTATTTATGAGTTACTTATTAAGCTTTTTTCGTTTCTTCTTCTTCTTATTCTTCTTTTTTCTGCAGAGATAAGGAACCTTAATATATATATAGGTAATAGTAGGGGTATATTCATTATAACCGCCTTTCTATTTACAACGATAAAAAAAAGTGTCATCGATGTCAATGTTTCGAAATTAGATGATAGTCTTAATTAAACTTTGAAAGTGCATTGAATCGCTTCCAACTACACAACGTTTTTACCTTAAATTTGTAAATATTGTCTTTAAAATTAATTTATGCGCCTTCAAATTTCATTCTTTTCTTTTTTTTATACGAAAGTTTATATAAGTTTTTGCAAGCATTAAACGCATTTGATAAGAGGGCATTATGTTAAAACAATAAAATCCAAAAGTTGCTTCAAAGTGCAATTGAAATGAATTGAAATTCAAAATTGACCGAAAATTCTTTTTCTCTGCGTAATGGAACCTTCTAAAGACTATTAGCGAATAGATATTTATTTATATATATATATATGTGCACTTCTATACTAACTTAATTGAAAGCTCACTTACAAAAGGCTGTCAACATACGCATCATCCGTTAAAACCGTCGACAACTTTTGTTCCTTCTGAGAGAGATATCTTTGTAGGAAATTTCAAAGTCCTTGGTCAAAAGTAAGAAGAGACTATCGCTTTTATAAAAGTTTTGCTAGAAATCTTTCGAGTATGGAAAGAGGACTTGTTCTTTACGCCCGGTATTCATTACTTTTAACCCCTTTAAAGCTATTGCCCAAAGAAGATCTTATGCTGAAGGAAACAGGTATATGTTTCTACTTCACTCTAAGTCAAAATCCTTGTATATCGTACATATGCTGACCGTGATCGTACCTGATATATGCTTCAAATTATGTAAATTTATAAAATTTGTTATTGATAGGCCTTCACATTTATATGCAATTCTTGACTTTATTTAGTTGCCTTTCAGATTTAGTTTGACGAGAATCGTGGGACTTGAACTTAAAGAATAAGTTTATCTTTTTAGATTAGACTTTAAATTATCGCAATCATCGTTATAAAGGCGGATTGAGCGAAAAAGGAGAGATGTATGGTAGCATATATAGTCTATGAGCGTATGATGCCATGGGTCAGTTTGTGGTGTATGATGTATAAGATCAACTTTAAAATGTTTTATGGAACCTGCTAAACCGGGGTTTGGTAGGAATTATCACAAGACTAAAACATAACTTATGCTGGCGCTAGCAGCAAAGGCAAGCTTGACCTAATACAGATGAAGAAAAAATCCGCTTTACGTCTCTTAAAGTGTTTAAATATTCAAGGCACGTAGAAGAGGGACGGAGAAGAGGAATATAAGACCAGTGCGGGTTGTGCTTAAGCTAACCTTTTTGATATGTAAGAAGGGAGAAAAGTCAAATTTTCACATTTCTCTGAAATATGTACGCATTAAAACACAATTATACTAATTTTAAAAGCGAATACACAAATACCATAATAATTATGATAATAATAATAATAATAAAAATACTAATAATAATAATAATAATTATATGTTTATGTATATTTATGAAAAAAAAAAAAAAATGAAGAAAAACAACGCCAACAACAAAAATTCAAAATTATTATCTTTCAACGGCTGCTCCTTCTCGGCTCTATCAAATAAATGCATCTATCTACTCTAATAGAGTAAAAATCTCAAGTTGTTTTCTCGATTTTTGGCATCGCTTTGAGCGACGACGACGACTACGACGACGACGACATTAAGTATAGTTAGTAAGTATCAGCAGCATTTTATATATATTTTATTTATTTTGTTGTTTGGTTGTTTGGTTGTTTGGTTGTTTGATTTTATTGAAATTGATATCCTTTCAATCTGCAATCCAATTATCTTTTGCATTTTTACTTTACCCGAAAGAATAATTAGGTTCATGATTGACATGCGGGATAAGACGACATACGCTTGGAATGCCGTAGCAAATTATCGAACGGCTACTGGTTACCAGCCAACTAACCAACCAAACAGCCAAACAACCAGACAAACTAGCCAGACAGTCAGCCAGCTAGTGAAGGCATCGCATAATAAGTAACAACAACGGCGTAAAACTTAAGGATGTGTTTGCCAAAATGGATGAGATGTGAAGGAGAAAAGAAAAAAAATCAAAGAAGAAGAAAAACTAAAATCAAGAAAGACTTCAATGATAACAACAACGGCAAAAACAATGCTGGCTATAGCGCAGAGTAAACAGAGATGATCCACGAGTTTATGATTATCTGTCTGTCCGTCGATTTATTCCTGTTGCTTCTATTGCTTGCTATTGCTGCTGTTGTTGGCGGATAAGATGATATTTTCCTGCTTTTTTTTTTTTGTTCATCTTCCTCTTACTTAGCTTTTCAGTATTCTGAAGCTTATAAACATTTAGCATTTAATCTGCGATGTTAAAAGCGATAGCAATGGTACTTGCACAAATAGATATACACACGCAGACACACAGATACAGATACACGCACAGGAGTTTAAACACAAGCACTACAATTGACTGTTTGTAGTGGTGACTGTTTAGCCGAATATACTTTTGGCTCCTAAGTTTTAGTTGGCTGGTTGGTTGTATTCCTCTTCCTTTTCATTGATTTCATCTTTTTTTTTTTTTTATTTTTTTTGGTTCTTTATTCGAAAAAAAAGCAATGCAAAAACTCACCATTATCAGGGTGTGCGAAGCTTGTTGCGAGCGTTAACAATGCTTTGTTGTTATTGCATACTATTGGCGACGTTGTTGTTGTTGTTTTTGTTGTTTTTTTACTATTAAATATCGCTGAATGGTATCATCATCACAATATCACACACAACTCGTGAAAAGCAATTACAAAATGTTTAGTGCTCAGCACAAACGATATCTTTTTATTATTGTTATTTAAGGTCGTCGCAGTATGCTGCTGCTGCTGTTGCAAATAAGAAAAAAACAAAGATAACAATAATAATGATAATAACAGCAACAACAGAAACAACAGCAAAAATAATAACAAAATAGCACATTCAACCAATGCACATGTCAACGATTAATCCTTAAACGATACTCGTCCACACTTGTGCTTTCACATAGTATTATACAGATACAGCTTAAGCGAATGCAAACATATGTATATAGAGAGTTTCACTGCAAGTCAAGCAAATCACTCTTGGCCTTGTATTAGCTTCCAGCAGGTATCAGCGAGTGAGTGCGTAACTGAGTTTGATCTCAACCAGTGAGTGGGTAATTGTGTGCGAAATGCGAAATTAACGGGCAATTGTAGAGCATCAATAGCGCGATTGTGTCGTTATCGATGGCGTTGTGACTTGGAGCCACTTTTATTTATTTGCGTCTCTACATTCGGCAATAACAGCAACAGCAGTCACTACCACCACCACCATCACCACCACTACCGCTACCGCAACGCTAGCAGCAGCACGAACAACACCAGCATCCGTATCAGCAGCAGCAAAAGTATCATCAGCATCAGTAGATAATGGAGGATCATCCTTAATATAAATACATACGCATACACAATCACACACATACATACACACACGCATATATATATATATATATATATATATATATATATATTTGTGTATATGTTCCTCTTACTTAAGTCTGATATGTTGCCAACGATTAAGTTCTTATACGCAGCTATCAGACTAAAGTTACTCACTTTCTGACCAAATGATACAATGGCAAGCAACTAAATCACCATTCACTTCTCTTTAACTATACTCCTCTTCATGCCTGCTTGCCTGCCTGCCTGCCTGCTTGCCTGGCGATCTGCTTGCTCGTTCGTTCGTTCGTTCGTTCGTTCATTCGTCCGTCTGTTCTTCTGTCTATCTTTACGCTTGATTATATTTCCATGCAATATTTGATTGTGTTTGGCATGTAATTCTCGGAAGTCCTTTTTGGTATGGCAGATCTTTATTGTACGATTGGTTTATTTATAATAATTAGGTGTTTTGTGCGGGTACTCTCCTTTGTTTTTTACTACAAAATACCCCAACCTCCACGCAGCAAGCACATATATATGTTGCATTTCGTCTACCCTGCCGATCATCACATCGCATGGCATTGCCATCTCCATTACTCTTCTTCATCTGTCTCCTTCGCGCTTCAGCAATAGACGCAGTTTTCGTTATTTTCCTTCTTTAGTGTCTTACGTTTGGGCTGTTTGAGGCAACACCAGAAGCTTATCGTAATCTCAAATTTACCACTTCACAATTTTTGCGGATTACAAGTGCAGCAAATAACAAACTGAGCATGCGCATGCGTGTGTGTTTGTGTGTGTGTGTGTGTGTGTGTGTATTATACGCTTATGTGTACGTATATAGATTACTACTGTCTTGTGTTGCCAGAGGCTTTTTTCTGTTTCTGTTTTTTTTTTTTTTTTTTTTTTTTTTTTTTTAAATTCAGTTTCTTAATAAACTTTTTCAGTTGGCATCGAGTTATACAGCATCGTTTTCTCAATGCATTCACATTGCTATGGACGCGAGCGACGTACAATTCAAGCGAACCGATTTAACATTGAATCAGACGATTTGTTGCATTGATCTGCACGGGTTTTAGTCTTAGCTTGTGTTCGTTTGTAAATTGCCCGCATTAACATGGTTGTTCGATTTATTAAGTAACTTCAATTTGCGTTTCGATTACGCCTGTAACGCCTTAGTCTCTCCATCGTAGACATTTTACGTTGGGCGGTTAAGCTTAAGCTAAATTCATCTGAGCTAAGAGTTACGTAGTAATGCGTTAAGGTTATAATTGCATTTTCGTATGCCTGAGTATTGCATTTTCTTGCAGCGTGTGTCATTGTAATTGTTGTTGTTGTTCTTGTTGTTCTTGTTGTTGTTATTGCAATC